CGCCTCCCCCTTAGCGAATGTGTGTTGTCTGCAAAGTGCTTGACGTTGTCGGCTCTGGCGGTCAAGTTTGAGTTTTGGTTTTAATGGGGGCCGCCGGGTAAGGACAGTGAAGTGGAGTGACCACAGCCGTGCTTCAGGCGAGCGACAGCTGCGGCCGAGGGGACCTTGCCATGGCCCTATAGGTAATTAGGTTTCAAAGAGACGATGATGTACTTCTTGTAATGTCGATTTAGCCCAATTTTGTTGACGAAAATAATATTATTTTATAAAAAGTTGTAGGTGCCAGAACAGAGGAGAAACATTTTAAAAAGTAAAACGCTTCATACTATTTTTGTTTTACTTAGGTTTTTTTAACGTTTTAAAATTTGTTTGTATACCTAATATTGCATAATTTTCTTTGTGTACTCCTGTACAAATTCATATTTAATTATAAGGGTTACGAATGAGTTTTTACTTTTTTTTTTATGTTTGATTTTCTTTCAGTTATAAATCAACATTTGTTTGTGGGACGTATATCTCAAGTTACAAATATTCCCGCACAAAGTAAATATGATAAAGAATTTTAAGATGACTACTTGAGTCGATCTAGCCATTTCCGGTTGACTGTCCGTTTGATTTCTGGAAGTATACGAGCTAGAGAGTTGAGACTTTCGGCTGTAATCAAAATGGCGAAAAATTCAAAAAATTTAATACTAAAACATCTAAAAAAAAATTTTTTTTTTTTCTTCTCGGAATCGCGTTAACCGGAAGGAACTTATAATCAGAGAATGACCGGAAACAAAATGTTCTTTGTGCTTTTAAACCTGAAAAAGATTTTGGACTAAGTCTAGTAGAAAAGATAGTTTTGTGGAAATAATCCCTTAACAATTTCAAAGCACCCGAATATATGACTCTTCTTATTCTGTTCTTGTTAAGTTTTTGAGCAAAAGCAATACAAACTTAATGAGGGGGTTAATCAATCAAATGTTTTAATTTTAAAATTCTCAATTTTCCCCATCACTGTCTGATTGGAAGCCCAATATTATTTCTTGGTCAAATTAAGAGTCGTTGAGTTTTTGCATTCCCGTTGAATATGCAATGACAACAGTAAAAATACAGTCGTAAAGGAAGAATATTGCCCGGCACACTTCGCTGCTCGTTAATCAATTAAAACATTTGTGAATTTGCATAAACATTTTCGCCCCCGGTTGTGCCATAATTTTTGCACTTGCTCGCCTCAGTTTGTTTACATGGAAGCGTTCTGTTCCCGTCTTTCCGTCTTCCCGCCCCTCCTCGCCTGCCAATTTGCGAATGCGGCAAACAAAAATTGATTAAAACATCACGTAATCGCAATGTCGTCGTCGTCATCGCCACCGGACTGGGAGCTTGGGCCATGGGCGGCGCCAACGTCAAGTTGGGGATCTGACATGGCATCTACATACCATATCCGTAAGTATATATCCCATAGTATGCGAGGGATCTCCGGACTCCGGCGGAGCACCGCACGTACGCATGTGGTTTCGCTCGGGCCCTCAGCCGATGCCTTATGCATATGAATTCGAATGCGAATTCAAATCGTTTCAATTGAATTCTGCGAACTGGCAGTTGATTCATCTGACAGCCACTGCAGTGAATTCAAATCGAGGCAATTATCCATTGCCTCTGGAACTGCCGAGGTATTGAGTCTATTACAAGCCGCAGTTATTAATGACAAATTGCGCATCGATGAGGTTGTGGATGTGGACCAAGTGACTCACAGAAGAACCTGACATCTTATCATCGCTGCCATAAATAAGGCAAAGGGACATGGACAGGGACATCTGGCATTCGTGGATTCCGTGCACCGTAATTCTTTCTTGCAGTCTTCATAAATTTCATTTTTACATGCGGCACAATGTCAGTGCCCTTGGTTTTGGGCCAACCCAACCCGGCTGGACTGGCCAAATATGCTTAATGACTTGTTTGTGTGCTGGATTTAATATAAATTATATTCCCTTTTTTTTGCTGCCCAGGCGAGGAGCGAATCTTCCCCGGAGAGAGCCAAAGTAACCAGTTTGGTTTGCGAAATGATTAAAATTTTATTCCAATGAATTTTTGTGTGGCGATGCTGGAGCTGCAATTGCTGAAGGGCAATCCCCGGTGAATTGTGGGCAAGAGTTGGGGGCCTTTAAGCTGCCACTGCCACTTCGCATGCAGCGGGGACCTCATCCATCATGGGAAATTGAACTCATCTCCAGGCGGCTTGCCTCTGAATCTGCCTCTGCCTCCCACGCAACTCTCAATAGATTTCCATGCCGGAATATTCGTATCTGGGTCAGAGTGCTTGATTGATAGTAAATAAAGAGCGAACCGCTCGAATCAAGTCAAATCATATTTCTTCTTGAGCGGTACTTGGGCATTTTAATTAGTCGTCTGCTCGCAAGGGGGCAAAATAATTGGCTCAATTCAGGGACTTTCGATTCCATCCGATTGTGGGGCAAATGCTCAAGTAAATAAACCCATCCAGTGCAGAGTTCTGTGTGTCATTTGGCTCAATCAATCAAGGGATTTGGGTTAGCACGGGCTCTCGGGCCCACAAAATATGCCACACATGAATCAACCGAGCGGCGGCAAAAAGGTTGCTCGTAAAATATATAGCATATATAGCAAAGGCCCGAATTAATTTGCAATGAAAATGTGCGAAAAGATGCAAATGGCCGGGATTTGTAGTAAAAAATTGACCAAAGCATAAGTTTAACGGTGCGGCTACGAAATATGTTGTCAAATAAATAAAAATTCCGTGCATGTGAGAGACTCTCAGCCATTTGATATAAATGTGGGGTTGTTCGTCCTGCCCACTTTCAGACGATGACAGGAAACTGTAAGGAATTGCTTCGGTCTGGAGGTCCTAGTACCCTGAACTTGAAAGCTGGCAGGCGATCAATATTTCATGCAAAGTTCGAAAAAATCTCTCTCTCTAGCATGTTTATGAAAATGCAACCGGAAATCGAATGTCTGTCAGGGCGAACATTTCTATAAACTAGAGGGCTAGGAATAGTGATGGCTACTAGCTTGCTCCTTCCCCAGTAAATTATGCAAATAAGTCAAGGGAGAGGATGTGTGCGTCTGCTGGCAAAGTTTCCCCGGCGGACCACAAATGAATCATATGCCAAAAGGCATTTGAAGGCCTCGAGCCTTTGTAATGGGTCCTTTGGGTCCACATCCTCCTCGCAATGTCTGCTGGAAAATGCATGTTCTTGGAGCTGGCAAAGTTTTGTGCTCAAGTCTGAGCGCTGTCAATTTCAGTTTCCGTCTCCGTCCGGAGCCGAGATGATTTTGGCAGATTTTGGCAAGAAGAAACATTTGTCTCTCCTGCAGTTTTGGGTGTGATCAAAGAACCGAGGCCTGCTTACCCTTCATAAGTTACGTATTTAAGGACCTCCTGCCGAGACACTCACCTGCAAGGACAGAGATAAAAATAGATGTTAGAATCTTCGTGTGTACTGGGGGCATTCGAATACCTAATCTATACGTGGCCCGCGACTAATCCCAGGTTTAATTAACGAAGGAGGCGTGTTGGGCGGACTAAACTTAACCGGAACACAACTTAAGCGCATAAATTATAGCCTGAGCCTGGACTTGGGAATGCTAATGATGTCCTCCGGCTGTCCTTTCCCTGGTCCGGCTAATAATGCTTTGCATATAATCAAGCAGCCCATGCATGACCTTTTGCTTTAGCTCTGGCCCAGAGTTTTCGATCCGTCTTCTTGGGAGGCTCACGGTGCTAATCCAACAACTTGACTGCCATTACCCCAGGACACAGGACACAGGGCAGGACGAAGTCGGCGGAGGAGGAAAAAAACGTTCATTTGCTCAATCGTGCACTCGAAAATGTCAATTTACATTTGCGGACTGGCTGGCAACGCATTTTCCCCCGTGGCTGAATCTGGGCCCCAGCCAGCTTAAGTTGACTTTAACGCCTCAATGCATCCAACTAGAAGGGCCAAAAGGAGGAGGGGGAGGACCAGGAGGAGCAGGAGTAGGCGGAGATGGAGGCCAAGGGAAATGCGAAGGCATTTCATATAGGAGAAAGTTTTTGTGTGTGCAACAGGGAAAAAAGGAAAACTTTTTATTAAAGTCAGCTGAAATGGCTGGAACTCGTTTCGGTTTCGGATTTCCATGCTCCCAGAAAGTAGCCAGTAGTCCTCCTCTTCCGCCCCTCTGCCTTTGTGTGCGTGTGTATTTGACAATGTGGGCGTGGCACTCGGCTCTGTCTGTTGCTCTGGTCAAGTTAATTTGTATGTGTGGCCGTAAACTTTTGCCAGCTTAGACTTTCCAACACGCCTCGCTGGCCAGTGGGCGTCCAGAATGGATGGATGGATGAATGGATGGATGCTGCCGCCACGGACAACTGAACAGGGTGAGGATTTTCAGGGTTTGGGTCACCCCCGATATCTCAAATGTCCAGTTCTGGGGCTCCGTCCACAATGTGTGAATTTTGTTGGCTTATTGCTTTTCTATGCCGCATAATTGCTGACTTCTTTCACACATTCGCACACATCATTGGAGCGGACTGTTCGTAGGACCGATTTGGGAGGGGGGTTTTAACTGTGTTTGTCCTTGGACAAGGCGCATAAATCATTGGGGGCTGCCGCAGAGCCCCGAAATTTATGCTTGGTTGCATTTTTGATGCTCGGCACCGAAGGACGAACACTGTTTAAATGCCCGCCCAGTGGGCATGGGAAGATAAGAGCGGTTGGCAGTCAGAACAAATCAAGAGAAAAGCTTCCGGGAAGCGTATTTCAATTCAAAGCTGTCGGATGCCCATACCCGCTATCTCTATCCTGGCAGGACCTCAGTCCCCTCCTCCGCTTTATGGTCGCCAAAAGTGTTTTTCAAATAGTTTTCGCCGGGTTGCCTGGCTACTCGATGGGCCACCAAGGCGACCACCGCTTGTTATCCAAACAAGTTGTCCCAGCAACGCCTTCCTTAGAGGCCCCACTCATTTGAGACTCAGAGATAGTTTTTCACACCTCATTACCTCGTTCAGTTCGATGAAAGATGCCCTGCTTTTCCGCCTCCAATGTGCGTTTCGTCAGCGCCGAGTCGCAGTTGCAGCAAAAGTGCAACGAGCTGAGGGCCAGGGCACGTGCCCAAACAGCGGCCTATCGTCCGCCGGCGGGTGGCTTTCGTCCTTCCACCACCGCCTTTGGATCCTTCAGGAGGCCACCGCCCTGCGACCAGACGGCGGCCTATGACCAGAAGCAACTGAAGCGCAATGAACGGGAGCGAAAGCGCAATCAGGGCACCAAACAGGTGGTGCTGCGTCCTGGTGAGGTGCGACGCCTCAAGGATCAGGGAAAGCTGGAGACCGTGGGCGAGAAGCTGCAGAGGATCGAACAGCTGGAGGAGGATCACCGCCGACAACTGCAGATGGTCGAGGAGACGCGGCGGCGCTTCAAGGCCATCGACGAGGCGCGAGGGGGTGGCGTCTCCGAGGCCAGGATCAGCCTGCTCAGCGAGATCCTGGAGGAGAAGCAGTCAGTGCTGGGCCGCGCCTTCCTCGCCCGCCAGGAGCAGGAGCAGGAGGTGAAGCAGATCAACCGCATGATTCTCGACGCCAAGTGCAAGGCGGTAAGGGAGGCGCAGATCCAGGAGAAGCACCTCCTTTCGAAGGCTTTGCGGGAGGACGATGAGCGGCTGGCGCGCATGGTGAATGAGCGGGCCCAAAAGGCATTGACCGAGGAGGATGAGCGCGAGCGGCTGGAGGTGGAGAAGCGCAATCGCTATGCTCAGGAGATTCGGCAGCAGCTCTCGGAGCGGGAGAATGTGCGCTATTTGGAAGCCAAGCGGGTGGCCGACGAGGCCAAGGACATCCGACGAGCCACCGAACTCCTACGTGGCCAGGAGGAGCAGCAGCGTGCCTCCGTGCAGCAGCGCAAGCAGAGATTCCGTGAGGAGCTCCAGCGCATCCGGGACATGTCGAATGTCTTCAAGACCATGCTCAGCGAACAGGAGCGACTGGCCGAGCTGCGGGTGACCGCCTACATGCGCGAGAAGCAGGAGAAGGAGCGCCAGCTGAAGGAGATGCAGCGGCTGGCCAAAAAGGAGTTCGAGCGCCGCCAGCAGCGCATCTTCACAGTGGCCGCCGAGGCCATGGAAACACGTCAGACCAACGACGAGCTGAAGTATCTAAAGGAGCGGGATCGTGTGGAGCGGGAGTACCGCCAGCGGGAAAAGGAGGCGGCCATTTCGAGGAGGGAGGCGGAGCGTGATCTCCTCGAGTCACGGGCCCAGCAGGCTCAGGAAATGAAGCAACGCCTGGCTCTGGAGATTGCCCATGCCGGCGAGGAGTTCGCCAAGGTCATGGAGAGGATGCGCAAGGAGGAGGAGAAGGAGAAGGCCTTGGACAGGCAGCGGGAGTCCCAAAGGCAGTTGTATCGGCAGGACCTGCGCCAGCAGATGACCGACAAGCAGGCGGAGCGCCGGCGACTAGCCGAAATGGAGGCGGTGAGGGTGCAGAAGTGGCTGGAGCAGGAGAAGCAGCGGGACGCCAACATCCGGCAGGTGATCAGCGCCAAGATCGCGGCCATGCGAGAAAACTGCCTGCCGGAGAAGTATCTGCGGGAGGTGGAGAAGCAGCTGAAGAGCATTCAGGCCTCGCGCGATCGCATTCGATGAGCAACAGGTGGTTGTGGTTGCCTAGTATCAGGCGGGTTCCAAAAAGCCAGTAGAAGAGGTCAACTGGATCCCCAAAGTATGCATCATTATTTTATAAACTATAAGTTAAGTTTTTTAAGTTTATAAGTGCACCCAAAAAATAAATCAAAGGTGTTAACTCCCTAAGCGCTTTATTAAAAACATACTAGAATAAGTAATAAAAAAGTGGTATTGACCTAATACTAAATAATAAATATTCTATACTCAGTCGTATTAATTTCATATGAAATATTATACACAACATTTTTTGTAGTTTCATTTCTATACCGAAAATTTAAATTATTACTTTTGAAAGTATTCATTTAATGCAAATTTCACATTCTATAGTGTAGAATTCATTTAACAATAGTTTCGTTTCTATGATTATTGTTTTTTTGCGTGTGCTTTAACAATAAAATCCACTTCACTGCGGAAAATGGAAACTTAATTTCGGGTAGCTTAGCTCTTCTACTTTACCAGATCCCAAAAGGTTCGATCCACCGCCCGAAAGTATGCCATAAAATTGCCAAACGAAAGTAACTGGCAAGGCAAAATTCGAAATCCAAATCAAAGAACCGCCATGATGACGATGCGACATTGTTGCGCGTGCGGCAGAAAAGACCGCCCACACACACCACGCTAATTTCCAACTATGTGGGCGTTTAGGCCACCTCCCTACTCCCACCCAACAGCCCACTTTCCCCGCGGGTGGGCACAAACAATTACGGGTGAGGGAAGGGGGAAAAACTACTGCCTGGGTGCCATGGAAAAAGTGGTAGCCAACTTTTGGCTACAATAAAATTTTATTATGCCACACACATACGCGCAGCGTACACAAGCAAACAATAGAAAGACGAAGATGAAGCTTGAGCTCCAGAGATCCGAAGCTTGAGTGAAGATGCCACCGCTAGCGACAACGGCAACGACGAACTCTTGTGCATGGTTCAATTATCGTATTTCATGATTCGTTAAATTTTCGCATACGCCAAAAAAATACGCAAGATAAGCCCCACACCGCCCGCCCACCTAGCCACCCACCATCTACCACCCATCAGGCTGCGGGCGAGGAAAAGCCAAGGCAAGGAACAGGTTTCCCCTGGCAACCATTGTGATTCCTACCTACGACATGTCGGGGACCCGCAGAGGGGCTCTGTACTTGGGTTTGGGCCTGGGATTGCCTGCCACTCGCATATGGCAGTAATAATTCCAATGACAATAAACGTTGTCGTATTTACAAGTACCAACACACACACTCCGACGTGAATTGATGAGAAAAGTTTTGAGGAAATGTCAATAGAGAAGCGGAGACAAACTATGCCCCGATGTGCGAGGGAGTCTGCACGCACTGTGGAGCCGAGCCAGCGAATTCGGAGTGAATGTTGAAGATGCTTTCCAGCTTGAAGGAAACTGAGAAAGAAATCAAGAATAAAATTTACATTTTGTCTAGATCTTTTATGCTTTGAAAATACTGCTCAAGGCTTAGACCCTATTTTAAATTAAAATAGGTACAAGAAAACGACTCTAAGAACAGTGTCGAGTGTCTCAACTATCAAATACCCTTTACTCAGCTTAATAAGTGTGAGAGAGATATAGATACGAAAACAGAAAATTCAGCGGGAAAATCATCATTTGCTCATAACTTTTTAATGAGTGATCAGATTAAAATGTTTTTCTATATATTACTAAACCAACCAAAATTGCACTTACACTTTAACAAGATCTGTAAATTTGTTGAAAATATTATCATTTTCTTTCCTATTTTTCTTTGTGAAAGCTTCACATAGCCCACTGTGCCTGTCCCAGCATCTTTGGCATTTATAAATATCGTGCTGGGCAAAAAGGTAAAAAGCCAAAAAATATCGATATTGTAATTGGAAAAAAGTAAGACGCAGCTGCCTTAGTGTGCACTGCATTCCTCGGCATCGCGTCTCCGCCCCCGCCCCCCTTTCACTTCCATCAAAATTTATCTGCAAGATTGCACACAATTGTTTTGTATTAGCAAAGTGATTCCTTCGGTTCCCTCGGTTTGGCTTCCTTGGGCTTAGTGGGGGATTGGGAAGTGAGGTGGCTCCGATATGTGTGCTTAAAAATAAATTGCTCGGCTTTAGTTTTGTGTTTTATTCCTATGGCTTTTCCTTTGTAGTTGCGGTCTGGTTTATCTGCCGCAGCCGCAGAAGCGATTTCCCTTTCTCCTTTCCTTTTGCCCCATTGTTGCGCTCATGTACTCATGTACTCATGCATAGGTAGTTCAAAGCGGCGCAAGACAGATGAGCAAAGTGGTTTCTGTTTCGGTATCGGTATTTACATCTGCAGAGCAAAGAGCTCCAGATCCTCCATATCTAGGTGACTGGGTAATGGGTCTCAATTGCGCCTCAAATTTAAGACATCAGTCGTGCGTCCGTTTGCATATCAATGCGGTGCGTGGGCGGGAGTGGGGTAAATGGAATTGAAAATCAATATAAATGAGGAAGCCGCTTGATTGGACCGCCGGGGAGGTGTCGCTGCGAAATGGATTTGTGGAGGTCACCGGCAGGAAGCTGCGCATTGAGCAGCAGACTGAGCGCAAAAATAGCGAATTATAAATAGACGAAATTCGGCTTAATTGAACATGGCAAATCAATCGAGTTTGGGGGAAATGGTCTTAAATTGAATACGGCAATCAAAGAATGTCGCTTGGGGGGAGGCCATGATTGATGGCCTTTTTCCTTTCACCCTTCTAATCCAGCTGATAAGGAGGAGCAGGCACCTGAACCTACTGAAAGTGGCGCCGAACTTTCCCTCCGCGAATCTTGGGTGTGTGACTACTCTGACTTGGTATGTGGGGGAACGACTTGTGCGATTATGAAATACATAGCTGCGATTAGATACGCGACACGCTTGAGACATATACAATTAGTCGGCCCAAGAATATTTATTTCGCTTTCTGCGCTGCGGAATGTGTTCAAGTGGTATTATGACCACAATTACATATTTATTTATCTATCTATCTGATAGGCGGCCCTCTTATCGGGCCTTTGTTTATGGACAATCTAGCCAGAAGTTGCTGCGACAAAGGGGTTTCCTGGAAATGTGCTTGTCAATGGGTGGAAACCCAGCGCTGGAATGTCGCGGAGCCAAACTTAAACAAAAAACAATAATATTCCACCCCGTAAATCACTTGGGCAATAAATATTTATTCAGCCTGTAGAGCAAACACTTAGATTAAGCCTTAAAATCTGTCGAGAGCCAAACATAATTAACATAAAACAAATAATAATAAAATTAAACTCGACTCAATTGATTTGTTCATAAATCTCGTTGCGCATCCATCCTCGCATCCGAAGCCGAAAAGCTGTAAAGCCATAAGCCCGGGCATTATTTATTATTTATAATGCATTATCGGCCAAAAGCAGAAGGCGCTGCAGTCGGCGTCGCTGCCCAGAGATTGTCGCAGCTGATTGGCGAGCTCCGGAGCTCCACGTTGGCGGGCTGCCCACTTCAAAAGCGGCAGCGGCGACTGCGACGTGACTGCGGGATTGTTTACAAACAAACAAGTCGCAAGTGTAGAGCCAGTAGAGTAGCCAGTAGCCCCCGTCAAGATATCCATACCCCTAGAGTTGCAATATCAGCGGCAGATACTTTTGGCGCGATTACCGCGCATAGCCAAAATTCTTCTCGTTTGTCTTCGGGCAATCGATTTCCCGGATTCCGATTGGCTTCAAAGTTGCACAACCGATCGCCGGAGGAGGTTTGTGGAGGTGTGGGGGTGGCCAGGTGAACAGTGGTGGCATATTAGGTAGAGAGTGCGCCGCGCGCTTATCACATATTTCTGTTTGCTTCGATTTCTAAATGGAAAAATGGTCGAAATAGCAGCCGGCAGGCCGATAAGCCAGATTATTCCTCGTGCGCCACATTTCCAGCTTAGTGTCTCTAGACGACGTGGGTCAGATCGATGGGCGATGAGTGTGGGGGAGTGGGGGTGTGCGATGATTGCGGTTTGTAAACGTCCTCCATCTCCTCATTGTCGCTCCCATCCTCTTCTTGCGAGTCCTGGGAGTCCTGGGAGTCGTGAGAGTCCTCCACATCCGAGTCCTGGATGTCGTCCAGCGGCGTGGTGGTGGTCATCGAGGCAGAGGCAGCTGCAGCCAGGAAGTGCACCTTGGCCGTCGAGTTGTTGTTGTCCGCCATCAGCTGGTGGTGCAGGTGGTGGCTGTAGTTCAGGGAGGGCGGGCAGCTGCCAACGGGGCGTGGCCGACGACGCAGCAAATCTCCCACATAGGCGGCGGTAATGGAGGCATAGGCCATGCCCAGAAGGGCGCCGGCCAGGACATCGGACCAGTGGTGCCAGTAGTCGGCCACGCGGCTCAGCGAGACGCAGAGGGCGGCCATGAGGAGCAGGAACTGAAGGACGTGCCGCAGGACACGCACTCCGCCACGACCGCGCCACACGCCATGAACGTAGAGGGCCAGCAGGACCATCGAGTAGAAGCTCAGGCTGCTGTGGGCACTCGGGAAGCTGACGTGCAGCTCACGGATTTGGCGTATGGAGAGGTTTTCGTTGGAGCAGTGGAACTGCTCCACATAGACCTCCGCATTCTGGGGATCCGAGCAGCTACTCCCATCGTCCAGTCGCGGCTGGCAGCCCTGGAAGAAGTGGGGCCTCAGGCGACCCACTGCATGCTTGGCCAGCTCCGTGGTCAAGTAGGTGGCAATGAAGCCAAAGCTAAAGGTTGCCTCTGCCCTCCAAAGGTTGCGCAGATAGAGGCGCGTGCGGAAGCGCTTGCAGATCCTCATGATCTCCACCACGGCCACGAAGAGCATGGGCAGCAGGAGCATCATCAGCAGGAGCATAGGCACCGTAATTGTGCAGTCCTTGTAAGGATAACGGATGCTCAGGTCCGAGCAGAAGAAGCCTCTCTTGAAAGTGTGCATGGTTTTCTTTTCGTTCGCAGATTTGATTTATTTCAGCCGCGTTCTTATCGCGTGGGTTCAAGCCAATCGCTTGACACTTGGCACTGGTTTTTGTGACAGTACATTTGTCTCAGCTCTTTACGCCCAACATCTGTGGCCATTCGTTCATTCGTTTCACTTATTTTTCGGCTGTCACACAAATTGCGCACTTACTCGCTGGCCCGGGCATTTGTTTTTATTGCGATTTTTGCTTTCGAAAAACTCGCGCACGATCTCCCAGGCCGGGTTCAAAGGCGATTTTCTTCGCGGGAAATTAGCGAATTACGGCTAACAGCCGTCTGTCACTCAGTCACTCTGTTGGCCGTCTTGCAGCCCATGAACCAATGGCAGCGAACCGCTTTTTCTGCACTCCGTTTCGATGTCTATGGGGCTCTGGGCCGCTCTGACGCTTTGTTTGGGATCGTTTCGTCGACGAATGTGACTAGCTCGCTGGCTGTGACTACGACGACGATCGCTGCCGAGCTGCCGGTAGCGACTGCCCCGTCGATTTCGTAGCAGGCGTTCGCCTCTGGCCCGCTTGAGTGTCTACGGTCTACGGTCTTCGGTCTACGGCCTACGGTCTTCGCATCGGAGAACCCAAACAAAGTTGAGTCTGAGAGACGGCCCACCGCGTCGAAGGTTCCCAGCACTGTGTGCGATTCGCATTGATATTGGATTTCAATGGTACTTGTACTTGTACTCCTTATCACGACCGCGCTCCTCTCAGTTCGCGGGTACACTCAGAAAGTTAATTTCGATTGTATTTGAAAATAAAAGTTCATCTAGATCGTCCATCATTCATTTTATAAGATTGTAGTTCTTTTTTACAGAATTGTCACTAAAATATATAATTTTAAAATTGTAATAGCTTGTGTAACATCTAGAGGCAAACTTTTCCGATCCTACAAACCTTACTTTTTCTTGATCAGGACCATAATTCAAGTCTTTTTGCCGTGTCCGTATGTACATCTGTCTGTCCGTATGAACCCTGAGTTCTAAGAAACTGCAAAAGCTACAAAGGTCGAATTTTGTTTGTTTTGGTTACGATATTCCAAAAAGAATATTCAAGTCGGAGCATTCATTAAAATTGGAATTATTGCAATACCCTCGCATAGGGTATCATAAGTTATTCTTCATAGCGATGATCTAGCCATGTCCGTCCATTACAAATTATTACTAAACTTTCCGTTTTAAGCTATCGAATAAAAATCAAACCTTTTTTTAAGATTTCTAACATTACTTTTTTTTAAATCGTACTGCCAAAATCGTAGGCCATAAGTTACAGAATTAAAACAAATTTTGTTTTAATTTCAGAGTAATTTTGAAATTAATAATAGTGGACAGCCAAAACTATCGGCATAAAATGTTAATTTCTACAAATATATTTGTATCCTGAAGTTTTCTACAATAATATGGAAATTATTATATGTAGGTAAAATGTTTTTTTCAAAGATTCTTTTAATTAGACGAGTCGATTGGATGAGTGTTTAAGACAAATGGCTATTTTAAAATTAAGGGCGTAATTGTACAGTGTACTCCCGCTCAGACTCACTTCTCTTGTCGCCTGTTGGCTTTGGCACGAATGTTGCTAATGAGGAAACTATTGAATTGTTTCAAGGTTTGCTCTGCTCAGTTTGCTTAGGCTTGTTTGCCTGCGTCTTGGCATTTGCGCATAATGAAAGAGTTGCATTCGAGTCGCTCGAAATGGATGGCAGATGGATGTGGATGTGGATGCGAAGATGGCAGTGAGGTGGAGTGGCGTATTGGAGGAGTGGCGCAGTTCCTTCGGCGGCCTGCGGTGGCCAGAGGAGTAGGTCATTCCAACGTGACTTAAGACGGTTTGCTGCTCCGCTGCGTGCCTTTGTGGCATTTGTGTTGATGTAGGTCGTTGCTCGGACCCCAGTGAGTAAGCGGACCTCGGCGGAGTGGGTTCTATAATGGAGCAATGGAGTCGAAGGCAAACACTGGCCAGACTCCGAATGCTGGAGCTTGAACTGATGCTGGAGCCGCAGTGCATAAACTGCAGCCAGTTTATGGCCACTTTGTATTTGCACTACGAATCGGGCTTCTTTATGGCAATTTTCAACTGCTCAATTTACATCGGAATTGCTGTGCTTGCAACTATTTGTTGTTAATTTATGCTAATTTCGGAGTCGCACTGAAAGGAAATTACTCCAAGAGTTGGTCGGACAATGGCAATGCGGCCCACGGATATGAAAATGGCCGAATCGAGTATTCCTGGTTAACTTAAAACAAAGTCGCCACCTTGGGCTGTCGATGTGAAGTTGGGATATTGAAAGGGGAAATTATATTGAAATTGTTTTTAAAATTCCTACAGTTATTATTATTAACTTTATTATTCATTTAAAAAATTGAAGGCATTATATTTCTGAAATCTGAAAGATCCTTGTACTCATTAAACAATATTTGACCCAAAAACATCCGAATTAAGAAAAATAATACAATATCCAAAAAATATAATCAATGAAATTAAAATTAAGCGTGTAATTAATAACGGAAATAATTAAATTAAGTATACAAATTTATTGTTACCTAAATAATAGTTTAATTTAGCTTGAAAATTTGTTGTAAAAAATTAAAAATTTATTTATAGGCTTAAGGTCCCGTAGCTATAGCTAAATTTAAGTTCGCCTGTAAATTTTACATTATAGTCGAACATTTAAAAAAAATTTAAATGTTATTTAATTTGAAAAATCATGATTGTAGGTTGTGGTAATCGAAACTCGAAAGTGATGGCCAAGTTGCCCACAATCTAGTTAATATCAATAAAATGATCTCGTTACATAACTCAGAAGGGTAACCGCTAGCTTTGGTTTACTGTAAGCTGATCTCCACAGAAATCGCACCACCAGATCCGCCCCCTTTTGCCAATCGTCGGTGTGCAAAGTCGTATCAATGAACGACCGCAGCACGCGCCAAAAACGAGTATTCATGATCATTATTATACTCATCATGACTTCCACGAGAAGCAGACGGGCTTGATCGTAAGGTTTCTGGTTTTATATGCCATTGGGATCTTCTTTAGTGACACCTTCGACTGAGCCGACATTAAATCAAAATTTATTATTGACATAATTCGTTAAATACGCAGATCCAGCGGGTATTCGACGATTGCACAACCCACGCGATTTTCTGGGTACAAGTAAATATAATCTCTATGCCCATAGTCCCCAGTTCCCGCCCAGACTGAGGTAAACACGAAAGTCTGACTCGGCACATGTAGGAATTGGTTTCGGGTTTTGCGAATCCAAGAAGCACTTCCTGTCCACTGTAAAAGCGAAACTGCTGAGCTAAATTATTTCCAAATCAGTGTTTTTACTTCTGTGTCGGTTGCAATTCTCCTGGCCACCGTCGCTGATAGGAAAAGTGTAAGAATTCGCCCGACGAGGTGTGAGCGTGAAATCGCGATTCCCAGCTGATAGCGAGTCGAACGCAAATCACCGTTTTTGTTGCGACGCAGTATGCAAGCCAGGAACTTCTGATTCGATCCGATCCGATAAAGATTCCAGCGCAGTGCCCCTCCCGAGGGAAACACTTGGCATTGGCATTCCGCGATTAGCATGGGGAAATCTGTTTGCGCTGCGACAATAGGCCGCTGTTGACATTACGCCGACGCCGGGAGTAATTGCGAGTTCGCGGACCCTCGAGTATTTCCTCCAGTACTCTAGGGGAGCTGATACGAAAAGCGTTAGATATGCAGACCCAATCAGGTGGACGCAACGAGGAAGTTAATGATTCGGACGGGAAGTACGATTCATTAGACAAGTGACGTTTCGAACTGTCGGCGATAAGTGAGGGGTGAATAACCAGAACTGACGTCTACAGATCGATTCGTTGAGGGAGCAATAATAACTTGCCACAAATCCCCTCAAGGTCTGCGAACCTATCCCAACGCTAAATGTTCTGTGGATTGAGCAATTTAACCGAGATCGACTGGAATTGATTTTAATTCCTTGCACGTGCAATGCACCCAAAACGATTGAGAGCCAGAAACCTCTGTGATCAACCAATATTATTCAAACTTTCAGAAATTACTCAGTTAGTACCAGTAAGCTTATTTTATGGGGTTTTAAGAGGTCTTTGTTATTAAAAGACAATAATAAAAACCTAATCATTTAAATTTAATTTTACCCATATTATTTTTTTTAATATTTTAAAAGTGTTTCAAAATAATTGGGCTTTTTGGATGTTCGTGGACGTAAAGTAGTGTTACACCCTAGATCCCCGTTAATTTCTTTTTTTAAAAAAAGTTTAGATATTTAACTACAAATTCTAAAAAATAATTAGTCTGCTCTTTTGTGCCTCTTCTGAGAAAACCGCAGTTTAAGTTAGCCAAAAATGTTCATAGCTTAAAATATCGTCTGCCCTGGTTTATCCGCGCGCCCTCACATCATGAAGATATTTCACTTATGTGAAGGTATTGATGAAGATTATGATAAATTAAGGTTTTAAATTTAAAATAATGTTATTTTACTAAAAATATAGGTATGAAATAACTACTGATTTCTGCCATATTTTGTTGAAAATATGCTATATTTCCTTGATTGATTCTATGACACCTATTCTTACAGGCCAATTTTAAAAAAAATGCTAATCATAGAGTTAAATTGATAAATAATGACTTAATCCCGATTTATATGAACCAATATTAAAATAGAACCGAGATATTCCCCTTTGTAATAAGCATTTATTTGTCAGCTATAAGATATAGTTGACCGATGTGAATAATTTTTTTTTTTCAAAAATCATGTTAAATTATTTATATTTTTTTTTGTTATGTTGTTTTTTTGTTGCTTTTTTCCTAAAAGTTTCCTACAACAAAAAAAAATTACAAATAAAATTCACCTTATGATGTTTTTTTACATATTTAATTGCCCTTAACAATACTCCATCAAAAGATATTCGCTATAGGGCTCCGCTGATTTAAGGCAGACTTTTGGCTTTTTCGCCCCACTATGTGTAAATTTTAAAATATTAATCCATTTTCCTGTGATACCCCCGGAAAGTTGACCAATTTCGGTATTTTTCGAACGCCTGCTTGAAATCGTTGCGTCGGGGAACTTTTTGGAAAACAGTTTAACTTGGGAATTCGTAACGAACTGAAATTTATCGATTCCATCGAGGTACATTTAAAAATCATTAATTTTGTAACACAGTGTAATAAATTGCTAGTCACTGTTGGATAAAATTAAGAGGCTATTTTCTTCAATCAATGGCGATATTTTTTAAGAGTGTAATAGCAACTTTTAGCATGTACACAAAAAAAAGACGTGGCAATAAGTGTCTTCTTAATATGGAGCGAGTAGTAAAGTTCGAAGCGACCTTGCTTATAAAATATTGGCAAAGAAATTCTAAGATTATAAAGAAGATTTTATTTTTAACAAAAGTTAAATGGTATCCAATATTTTAAATAACAAATTTAATTCGGTGACCTCAGAAAATTGTTTTTCCCCTTATAAAAATAACGAACGAGCTATATAACCCTTTTGATATAAGTTCAATGGAACTATCCATAATAACAAAATTAAAAAAAACATAAAAATAATAATAATAAATAAAAAAAATATGTTATTATTCTTTGTTTAAAAGCCTTATCCCTGACACTTTTATTATTTCAATATTTACATCTGAACTGGGCAAACACCAAAATTAATTGACAAACACATCGTTTTTAAAGTCACAAAACTTAAGTGTGTGCCTTTAAAACACATTATCATGATGACTAAATTGGCAGGCAAATAAAATATGTCTTTTTAATAAACACCGAATTATGGTCTAAGCTCAATGTTAATTTTACAAGCTAACGAGCCGCATCGCCCGCTTTTAGCCCGTTTCAGCCCTGTCTGCTAGCCGTTTCAATTAGCAATCCCATAAAAATAAACAGCGGAAAGAATCCAAAAGCCGGTTTCCCCCCGCTAAACGCCGATCAGTCGAAAGCTTTAAGCTCTGTGTGAACGTCACACCGGAGAAGCGTCAACGGCAACCTGAAGAATGCACATCCGACTTGGGCGACGTCACAGAACAGGTGCGGAATCAGCTGCAAACCGCTACCGATCCCCTGCCCCTGCCCCCATGCAATCCAAACCATTGGGTGAATCACTGGCCGAGAAATGCCTAAAAGTGAAAATTCCCAGCGCTCAGCTCCAATCGATGAACGACTCATACCCATCCGAGCAATTAACCAGCGGCAAGCCGAAATTACCACACTTGAGTGGTGCCCATCGTGGTTCCAGTGGGTTTTTCAGCCTTTCTTGTGTCGGTTCCACTTGCTGCCCACTAGGAAATTATGCACACGCACCGCAAAAAAAAAGTGCACGATCTGCAGCGAAAGGCGAGAACCGAAGACGAAGACTCTCTCCGCAGAAACCAGTTTGCATCCATCCGCCTCTCTTCAGACGGAGTCTTATCTTCTCTCGCCTTTTGCCAAGATTTTCTCCTGGCCCATTAAACATGAGCAATAAGTGAAACCCGTTTCTCAATCGTAAACAATAGAGTGCGAGGTGGGTGTTGCACTCAACTCCGAGATCTGTTTATTTTTACGCCGATTATAGATGAAATATGAGCCCTCAAGTTTGCATTTCGTATGTGAAATATGAGTGCTTGAGGAGTTTGCATTTCTGGTGCTGCACGGCGAGAATTTTCGCAACCCACCTAGAATTTTATTGGCTTTTGTCTGCCAATTAGCCGAATGTTTTTGCTCGTACTGTCGGCGCAATGGAAAATTGACTCGCTTGTAATTAATAAAGCGGCGAAAAAAAAGCAAACAACCTACAAATGTTTATGGCATGTCGGCGGCGGTGGATGGGATGGGAAGCTCCACTCCATTCCGCAGTTGCCCCGGCAACAGCAACAATAACAACAGCAGCAGCAGCTGTTTGTGGGGACTCACGCACCAGCGTGAATTTGAGAGAGAGGCCCCGCAAAATCACGGCCAGGTTGGGCGACTCACCAGCCTCGCTCGGTTAGTTAAGCGCGGTTTGTCAGCCGGTCGAGTCGATCTGTAGAGCGCTACGTGAATCCCAGCCATGTCCAAGTACTCGAAGCTGGCCCGGGGCTCTGTGATCTGCTGATCTGGGCGGCTCTCAGTGTGGCCAGTGTGCTCCTCCACAAGCTGGTGCGTCCCTTCCGGAGGGGATTCTTCTGCGGCGACGAATCCCTCGGTTATCCGCACCGGGATAGCACGATTGGTCACGAGCTGATCATCGCCATTGCCCTCGGAGTGCCCACAGCCGTGATCGCTGTGGTGGAGCTGTTCAAGCAACTGCCGGAGTCGGGTGGCAAGAAGGATGGCTGCCGGATTGGCCACCGTCTGGGCCACCTGTACAGGCAGGCCATCTTCTACCTGTATGGCCTAGCCATGGTCACCTTCACCACGATGCTCTCGAAGCTGTGCATCGGCCGTCTGCGACCCCATTTCTACGCCGTCTGCCAACCCATGTTGCCCGATGGAAGTGGCTGCCAAGATGCCCAGAACCTGGGTCGCTACATCGACAGCTTCACGTGCAGCAACGCCAACATGTCCGACTTCCAGTTTAAACAGCTCAACCAATCCTTTCCCAGTGGCCACGCCAGCATGGCCATGTACGCAATGCTTTACCTTGTAGGATTGCTTGTCTTTTGGCTAAGATTGCTTTCGGCCCAAAAGTAGGCAACAGAGTTTGGTCTACATGGTTTAGTAGAAAATATAGTCTCTTGAGCCAGAACTCCCAAAACTTCACCAAATTGGTGAGTAGGCTTGAGCTACAGGTCGGACTCAGGGTCCCGACCCGAAGTCAATTTCGTTTGGAGTCACACCAAAATTACCAGTGGATCGAAGAAGAAGTTAGTTGCAAGTGCAAAGATCAAAGTTACACAAATTAAAGGAAATCCAAAATTTCCAAAATTCCCGGCAATCGCCGTTACAAGTGGCTTAAAAACCAAAAAAACACAAGTGCTAAAGTGCCAACCCCTAGTGGGTGGCACCTAATTACATAACCCCGGTCCGCCAAAAGCCAGGCTTGGGCGTAAGAGGCGTCTGGAGAACAAAAGCGCCAACAGGAGTGAAGTTATATATCCATCAACCGATCAATCAGCACCAGCAGCAGCAGCAGAATCCGAGATCCCTCAGCAGCGACAATAGCGCCGAGAATTTGATTTATTTATTATCTACATATTTTATTATCATTATCTACATATTTTTTCTACTTTCTACATCTACGTTTATATGTTGTAGAATAGCCCAGTAGCCAACAAAATTTAGGCTAGGGTCCATTTACCGGCAATACAATCCGTAAGCCGTAGGGAAATATAGCCCAAGAAGACAAAAAAAAATGAATTAATCAACCCCTCAAATACTAAATCATTTCGAATTACATTTAAAACTTAAAGTTTCGAATTTTACGCGTCATTATACGCCACTAGAAGCAGATTGAAGCTGAATTTTAGTTTAAGTAGTTTTAAGAGAATAGTTATAATCAAGAGAGTAGGTCAATAACAGGGAAAATATGCATTAGAGCTGAGCAGTCCCGTCTTCCCATGTACTTTTCCCTTCCCTCTCCCATGTCTTAACGGCAGAGTACCGTACCGCTGTAGAGTACGAGTAAGGCGAGTGAGAGTAACGCTAGCGATCTCTTATGTAGTTGAGGTTCTCTTTCACAGGCCCCCTTCGAGAAGCGCTTCTTCGTGGGAAAACAAAGTGAGTCGATTTAATGTCATAAGAATCTCAACTACCCTTTTTAAATAGAACAAAAGTCTAAAGAGAAAATTTAACTTGTTACAAAATAAAAAATTCACCCCTCACTTAAATGCTGTAATAAAAAAAAAAAAAATTTAAAGAAACTACAAACTCCAAAAAAATGTCCTCCCCATAAAGCCCAAACCACAACTCCCTGCTCAATAATATAAAGTTTTAAGCCACACATATCATGCCATAATTTTACATACCTACACCCATTATACCCGCTCTCTACATTTGTATTATTTCATGTAAAAGCTAGATGTTATATACATGAGCACTGAAATATTCAGCGATCGCTAAATTTAATTTTTATTCATTAAATTCGCAATTTTAAGTTCAATCTATATGTTAATCACTTCTTAGGATCCTAATGCTCTTGTTTAGAATTAAATTTTGTCAGTTAATAGGATTATTCTATGTTTAAAAATAAAATTTATAATGTTGTCTAAAGTTGAGTAGAGTCCATAGGGAAGCCATGCGTCGTCGAATGTTATCTGTCGTGTAAAGTGTAGTCGCCTTTTAGGGATCGCCATAAATATATCTGGTCGATGGTGATCATGGTAGGGAGGGCAAGTCAGCTTGAACAACCGCTGACATAAAGGCACTACATCCTTGTTCGTCCTTATCTGTCCTTTGCTAGTCAATAGTCCGGTCCATTAGTCCTGTGGAGATCCTCGTACCCTTTAGCACGCGAAGTAATAAGATTTTGTTGTTCGTCTATAGAGCAAGTAGCAGCGTTCTTAAAACCTATCCCCGACCCCCCTCTACTGGTAACTCATGCCGGAACCAGCGCGTGCTCTACGTAGGCTACAAATTACACCAGCTCTCGAAACGTAGTTCGCTACAGTATTCTAATATATAACAATAAACTTATTTGGCGCCCAAACGTGTGTGGCCCGATTCTGTCATGGCGACAGATCGATCCGGCAAGGCCAGATCCATAAAAAGAAAAAATATATTTATTTAAAACCGTCAGTAACATCAGACGTTAGTCAAGAGAATCTCCACAGCATTCATCCTCTAGATTAGGTGCGGCGAGGAGTGATTTACGGATCAAAACTCCTTGCATACTATTAGGCCGCTGGAAAAGTTTTAGCTATTTAGCTTTAACGCCGCTACCTAATTAAACTTACGCATAGGGCGTTGTTTATTGGCTTAATAAATTTGCCATCCCGTCTTTTAGCGTGGGAAGTATTAATTTTTTTTGTACTGAACTTTAATATAGAATTGTACAGAACACTTGTTGCCGGTTGCCTGGTGTATCTGGTATAGTCTGTGTTTTATGCGAAGTTCAAGAATTTTATTAATACCAGATGTTAAATTTAAGATTAAGAGTCTGTTTTCGAGAATCTGAACAATAGGAGCCGGATGTTGCCGTTTTGCCATGCGGTGAACCGATTAAGTAGGTATTTTCGTTAATAGATCGTCATCTGAAAACGATATCTTTCACCTTTCTAGTCAAATTTTATTTTGTAATTTATTTTTGTTTTGCGTATTAATCTTTTTGTAGTGGAGTTTTAGGCGGAATTGTACAGAACACTTTTGGCCGTTTGCCTGGTGTGTCTGGTATAGTCTGTATATAATACAAGTTGCAAAAAGTTATTTGATACAAGATGTTAAATGTAAGATTAGTGAATCTGTTACATGGAAATCCATATATTACAGGAGCCTCTTGTTGCCGTTTGCCTTGAGGTGAACCTTTTTATTGTTTTTGTGTAATAGTTCGTCATCTGAAAACGTCATCTTCCACTTGTAATTCCATTTTATTATTAAAAATTTTTAGAGTCAATAGTATTAAATTTCATTACCGACAGGGCTTAGCAGGACAAGGAACTTTACAAAAAGATAGCAGAAAACGATTGCATGGCACCCCAAATTTTGAAAGTTTTATTCTGATTTTTTTTCGATTAATTATTTATTTATTTATGTTTTGTTTATTTATTATTTTTGCTTACTATTATTTATTTATTTTATTTATTTATTTTTATTATTAGGTAGATATTTTTTTTAATTATTATTGCAAGATTCCGGAGCTGTAGGTTTTGTTGAAATGTCCCTAGCACACAGCACAGAAGATCTAAATAAAATAGTAGAGAACGTTTGTCAGATCTGCGCAAAACCTATTTCCTTTCCGATCCAATTGCTACACGCAAGGTGCGGTCACGATTTTCACCGAAATTGCTTCGCTACAAAAGCGGGGAAAACAAAAATCTGTCCTGTCTGCTCTAGCTCACTATCATTCGCATCAGCGGAGAATTTAGCAGTTGATACTCCAACTAAACCTTCTGGCTCGAGAACCAAAACTCCAATAGTGCCACTTAACGTAGTAACTAGGTCGAAAGCTAATCAAGGCAAACCATCAAGCGACATCACAATGCCTACTGGTAACGACCAACAACCGCCTTCAGCCCCGACTGAACCTCCAACTGATTTTCAGTCGGCAATGGCCGAAACTATCAGGGTAGCCATTTCAGAAGCCTTAACGACTGCATTGGCCCAGCAAACAAAATGTTTCGCTGATGCTTTGGCGCAACAAACAAGAACCATGACCCAAGCGTTCGCAGGGAATTCGCAAGCCCAAGCGGCAAATTTTTCGCCTAACCAGATAATGTTAGACCCGATGTATAACCAAGGTAATACCGATCCTCAAGGTCCACCAAATCTAGGTCAGAATCGTAGTAGCAATTATTCGCCTGCCTCAGCAAGCAGCTCCTTAAGGCCAGATAAGATTGCTCAAATCATGGTTGGTTGGAAGCTACGCTTCTCAGGAAAAGGGCCAATGACTGTCGAAGACTTTATATACAGAGTAGAAGCTTTAGCAGGACAATCATTGGAGGGAAATCTTGAGCTAGTGGCTCAGAATGCTAATTTGCTGTTTGACGGAATCGCGAGCGATTGGTATTGGCGTTTTCATAAAAGCGTATCTGCAGTGCGTTGGTTCGAGTTAGTTGAAGGACTTAAAGGCCAATTCAAAGACGATAGAACTGACAGGAACATTCGAGCGGAAATAGACCAAAGGAAGCAACGGGGAAACGAAACTTTCGATGATTTCCATAGGATAATCGCTGCCCTTGCAGATAGACTGTCGCAACCAATGTCAGAGCAAGCAATGGTTGAAACTTTGCGGGCGAACCTCCTTCCAGAAGTCCAACATGAGATTTTGTATGAGCATACCCGAACTGTGCAAGAATTAAGACGACTAGTAAGGACCCGAGAAATTTTTATGCAAACCGTAGGAAAGCCGCAAGGATTTACACCGCGCCACGGACCACCCAGGAGGCAAGTCTGTGAGGTGCAATGTCAGGTAGAGACAGTAACAGAGAGCGAAGAGTCTGATGAAGATCAAGAGTTAGCGGCCATAAATCTGCGATGTTGGAACTGTAAAGAAAAGGGACATCCACATACCAAGTGCCCAGTACCGAAGCGGGTGTATTGTTTCGGATGCGGAGAAGACGGCCAGTACAGTCATACCTGCATCAAGTGCCACCCGTCAAAAAACTCAGCAGAGCGTGCCACAAAGGCACGCAAACAGATGGTCTCGAAGGCAACGATGACCGACCAACTAGATTCACTTCACTAACCCCAAAACCAAAATCAACTGCCCAGATTTCTTCCAAAACTGAGTTAGAGAGCAATCATACCACTCGTTCAACAAGCCGTAGGGACAATTACAAATGTTTAAAAAGAAAGAACGCAAGCTGTTGCTCTCAGCCATAGTGGGGCAACTTAACGATTTCAGGCCTTACGCGCAGGTTGAAATTTTGGGCAAAATGGTAGTTGGTTTACTGGACACTGGAGCGTCAGTCAGCTGCATAGGTGGGAGTCTGGCTGCAGAGCTACCAGAACTAAATATAAAATACTCTAGAATAACAGCAGGAATTCGAACAGCAGACGGGCAATCCCAACCGATAAGTGGTCGGCTAACTACAGAAGTGTCCTTCCGGGGCGAAAAGAAAACACTAACCTTCTATATAGTACCATCCCTAGCAGGAGATTTGTATCTAGGAATAGATTTTTGGAAGCATTTCCAGTTATTACCCGAAGCCTTCCGGGGCAACAATCCAATAGTGGCAGCATTAGAAGAGCCAATATCTCGTGAGCTCTTGCCTGACCAGCAGCAAGCGCTACTTCGTGCAATTAAGCTTTTCCCGTCGTACGCGGCGAAAGGTCTGGGAAGGACCCAACTACTCTCACACTCCATTGATGTGGCTCAAGCAAAACCCATAAAACAAAGGCACTATGCGGTATCTCCGGCAACGGAAAAACTTATGTATGCGGAACTGGATAGAATGCTAGAGCTAGGTGTAATAGAGGAGTCGTCCAGCGCTTGGTCCTCACCAGTAGTTCTGGTCCAGAAACCTGGTAAAGTAAGGCTGTGTATTGATAGCCGAAAGCTGAATGAAGTGACGGTTAAAGACGCATATCCAATGCCACTTATTAATGGAATTTTAGGTAGGCTCCCAAAAGCAGAATTCATAACTAGTTTGGATCTAAAAGACGCCTTTTGGCAGATCCCGCTAGATGCTAATTCAAGGGACAAAACAGCATTCACAGTGCCTGGAAGACCCCTCTATCAGTTTGTTGTTATGCCCTTTGGGCTATCTAATTCTCCCCAGACTATGTGTAGGCTAATGGATAAGGTGATCCCAGCGTCTCTAAGGAACGAGGTGTTTGTGTACTTAGACGACTTACTAATAGTCTCAGATACTTTTGAAAGACATATAGAAGTTCTGAAAGAGGTTGCGTCTCACCTTCAAAATGCCAAATTGACCATAAACGTAGAAAAAAGCAATTTTTGTATCAAGGAGGTTAAATACTTGGGACATGTGATTGGCCATGGAACCGTAGGCACAGACCCAGATAAAATATCCGCAATTCTGGAGTTCCCTAGCCCTCGCTCCATGAAACAGGTTCGCCGTTTCTTAGGAATGACGGGTTGGTACAATAAATTTATAAAAAACTTTGCCGCTTTAGCTTCTCCAATTACCGATACGCTCAGAAACAGAAAGAAATTTGCTTGGACTGAGGAAGCTCAACAAGCTTTTGAAATCTTGAAAGAACACATGTGTACGGCCCCTGTGTTGCATAGCCCAAATTTTGACGCTCCGTTTTCCATCCATTGTGATGCAAGCAACACTGGAGTGGGCGCTGTTCTAATGCAGGACGACGCCGAGGGAAACGAAGTTCCAATCTCCTTTATGTCCAAGAAACTAAACAAATGTCAATCAAATTACACAGTCACAGAGAAGGAGTGTTTGGCAGCTGTTTTGGCGGTAAAAAAAATTCAGGGCATATGTGGAGGGACAAGAGTTTTCAATTATAACGGATCACGCGTCCTTAAAGTGGCTTATGTCCCAGGGAGACCTCAGTTCTCGTCTTGCACGATGGGCCCTAAAACTGCAGGGATTTAAGTTCAAAATCAGCCATAGAAAAGGAAGCCAAAATGTAGTGCCAGACGCCTTGTCAAGGACTTTTACGGAAGACCTTTCGGTCTTAGAAATATCTAGTTTAGTGGATATGGATGCTAGTGAGTTTAAAGGGAAAAACTACGAAGATCTAAAAGCAGCTATTTCCACAGGAGTACAACAATTAGGTGAGGTTAAGGTCAGCAACGGGTTTGTTTATCGTCGCGCTGAGCACGCTGCAGACGAGAAAGTGGCAGATGAATCCTGTTGGAAGCTGTGGCTTCCTAAAGAGCTAGTTCCAGATTTGTTAAAAAAAACGCATGAAGATCCCTTAGCAGCACACTGTGGCATAGCCAAAATGTTAGAAAACTTGAGAAGATATTTCTATTGGCCAAATTTAGCGGTAGATGTAAAAGATTTTGTCAATAGGTGCGAAGTGTGCAAGACAACAAAGCATCCCAGTCAGACTTTGAGACCAGCCTTGGGAAATACTGGCCAATCTGAAAGGATTTTTCAAAGGCTCTACGTGGACTTTTTAGGGCCGTATCCGCGTAGCTCGGAAGGGCATATAGGGCTTTTTATTGTAGTCGATCATGCATCTAAGTTTCCCTTTCTAAAAGCCGTAAAGAAATTTACCACAGAGGCTATTCTTCCATTCCTTGAAAAAGAAATCTTCCATTGTTTTGGCGTACCGGAAACTATTATTTCCGATAATGGAGTGCAGTTCAAATCAGTGGCGTTCAACGCTTTACTTGAGAGATATGGGATCGCACACTCCTATACGGCGATTTACGCTCCACAAGCCAACGCCTCAGAAAGGGTCAATAGATCGGTGTTAGCTGCCATCAAGGCGTACATAGATCCGAGTCAAAAGAACTGGGATAGTAAACTTAGTAGCATCTGTTGCGCGTTGAGGTCAAGTTTTCATTCGGCCATAAAAACGACACCGTACAGAATGGTTTTTGGGCAGCACATGGTAGTAGATGGAAAATCATATAAAATCATTAGGGAGCTAGGATTGCTAGAGGATAGAAATGTACAGTTCAGTAAGGATGACTCGCGAGACATAATAAGGCGTACGGCTCAGGATTCGATGGAAGCCCAAAGGGAAAGGAATGAAAGGGCTTATAACTTGCGGAGCCGAATTGTGTCTTACAGACCGGGTCAAGAGGTCTTTCGCCGGAACTTCCAGCAAAGCAACTTCGCAAAGGGTTTTAGCTCAAAGCTAGCACCGGTTTTTATAAAGTCTAGGATCCGAAAAAAACTGGGTTTGGCCTATTATGAAATTGAGGACCTCCAGGGAAGGTTAATTGGCAAATACCACGCGAAAGACTTGCGACAATAAGACAAGCTGGGATCTCCCTTGTGTCGATAGCGCACCCCAAGTGAGATTTTGGTGGGGGGGAACTGTAGGATTGCTTGTCTTTTGGCTAAGATTGCTTTCGGCCCAAAAGTAGGCAACAGAGTTTGGTCTACATGGTTTAGTAGAAAATATAGTCTCTTGAGCCAGAACTCCCAAAACTTCACCAAATTGGTGAGTAGGCTTGAGCTACAGGTCGGACTCAGGGTCCCGACCCGAAGTCAATTTCGTTTGGAGTCACACCAAAATTACCAGTGGATCGAAGAAGAAGTTAGTTGCAAGTGCAAAGATCAAAGTTACACAAATTAAAGGAAATCCAAAATTTCCAAAATTCCCGGCAATCGCCGTTACAAGTGGCTTAAAAACCAAAAAAACACAAGTGCTAAAGTGCCAACCCCTAGTGGGTGGCACCTAATTACATAACCCCGGTCCGCCAAAAGCCAGGCTTGGGCGTAAGAGGCGTCTGGAGAACAAAAGCGCCAACAGGAGTGAAGTTATATATCCATCAACCGATCAATCAGCACCAGCAGCAGCAGCAGAATCCGAGATCCCTCAGCAGCGACAATAGCGCCGAGAATTTGATTTATTTATTATCTACATATTTTATTATCATTATCTACATATTTTTTCTACTTTCTACATCTACGTTTATATGTTGTAGAATAGCCCAGTAGCCAACAAAATTTAGGCTAGGGTCCATTTACCGGCAATACAATCCGTAAGCCGTAGGGAAATATAGCCCAAGAAGACAAAAAAAAATGAATTAATCAACCCCTCAAATACTAAATCATTTCGAATTACATTTAAAACTTAAAGTTTCGAATTTTACGCGTCATTATACGCCACTAGAAGCAGATTGAAGCTGAATTTTAGTTTAAGTAGTTTTAAGAGAATAGTTATAATCAAGAGAGTAGGTCAATAACAGGGAAAATATGCATTAGAGCTGAGCAGTCCCGTCTTCCCATGTACTTTTCCCTTCCCTCTCCCATGTCTTAACGGCAGAGTACCGTACCGCTGTAGAGTACGAGTAAGGCGAGTGAGAGTAACGCTAGCGATCTCTTATGTAGTTGAGGTTCTCTTTCACAGGCCCCCTTCGAGAAGCGCTTCTTCGTGGGAAAACAAAGTGAGTCGATTTAATGTCATAAGAATCTCAACTACCCTTTTTAAATAGAACAAAAGTCTAAAGAGAAAATTTAACTTGTTACAAAATAAAAAATTCACCCCTCACTTAAATGCTGTAATAAAAAAAAAAAAAATTTAAAGAAACTACAAACTCCAAAAAAATGTCCTCCCCATAAAGCCCAAACCACAACTCCCTGCTCAATAATATAAAGTTTTAAGCCACACATATCATGCCATAATTTTACATACCTACACCCATTATACCCGCTCTCTACATTTGTATTATTTCATGTAAAAGCTAGATGTTATATACATGAGCACTGAAATATTCAGCGATCGCTAAATTTAATTTTTATTCATTAAATTCGCAATTTTAAGTTCAATCTATATGTTAATCACTTCTTAGGATCCTAATGCTCTTGTTTAGAATTAAATTTTGTCAGTTAATAGGATTATTCTATGTTTAAAAATAAAATTTATAATGTTGTCTAAAGTTGAGTAGAGTCCATAGGGAAGCCATGCGTCGTCGAATGTTATCTGTCGTGTAAAGTGTAGTCGCCTTTTAGGGATCGCCATAAATATATCTGGTCGATGGTGATCATGGTAGGGAGGGCAAGTCAGCTTGAACAACCGCTGACATAAAGGCACTACATCCTTGTTCGTCCTTATCTGTCCTTTGCTAGTCAATAGTCCGGTCCATTAGTCCTGTGGAGATCCTCGTACCCTTTAGCACGCGAAGTAATAAGATTTTGTTGTTCGTCTATAGAGCAAGTAGCAGCGTTCTTAAAACCTATCCCCGACCCCCCTCTACTGGTAACTCATGCCGGAACCAGCGCGTGCTCTACGTAGGCTACAAATTACACCAGCTCTCGAAACGTAGTTCGCTACAACCTGGCCATCTACCTCCAGGCGGCGCTGAGTACGCGGGTGTCAAAGCTGCTGAAGCACCTGCTGCAGTTCCTCTTCGTGATGTTCGGCTGGTATGTGTCGCTGACGAGGATCACCGACTACTACCACCACTGGAGCGACGTCCTGGCAGGGGCGGTGTTGGGCGTGGTCTTCGCCTGGCTAACGAGTGCCTATGTGGCTGACTTGTTTGTCGGAAGGCGTTGGCCCAAGGCAGGCTACTCGGCCAACACGCTGCGCAAGCCGCAGGTGTCGCCCAAGAGCTCCACCAAGTCGCAGGCGGGAGGATCGACGGCAGGAGCGGCACAGCCGCCTGCCCTGCCGGCCTACACTTTCGGAACGCTGCCCTACTTGGCGGCCCATCCCGCCCAGGCGCAGGCGCAATACGCCCAGACCTATCACAACTACGGCTACGTGCCCTGAGCTCACTGCCGGATTCCATTAGCAAAATCTAGCTTAGAGAACCCCACAAACATACACACCACAAACACTCACAACTTGCACGGCATTCCTGTTTTGTTGTCTGTATTCTAGCGAAATAAATATATTCAAGTACGATACGAACACGCAGCTGGTTTCAGTCGGTGGAATGGCGCATCGAAAATTGGCTAAATGGATCGGTGGAGTAGAAAGTGTTTTATCGATTCGGCGGCTGAGGGAGAACTACTGATACTTTCGAAAGTTGTGCCAAAAAAATAAGAACCTTGAAGCTAGCGTACATCTTTGGGGATCGGAGTTCGGGCTTACCTGCAAAGAAAAGAAGAACAGAAGGGTTTTGATTACAATGGATTCGGCACATTCCTATGGAGTTACAACAGACTTATTCTAGAAGATAATACGTTTTTATAGCATTTATGTTGCCAATATTTACAGTTACTTTTGCTTTTGTCCAGAAAGACACAACAAGTTCAGGGCGAGCAAAAAACACCTGCCGGACTGGGTGAAACCAAGAGATTAATAAGTGGATGACAGCCTTAAAAATTACACTTAACAAAATGGAATTAAATTAACATTGTAATAAAAACAACAATTTGAAAATTTTTTTTTTCAAGAAATCTACTTTTTTAGTTAAGAAACAACGTTAAGAATAATAAATATGTAAACTTTTTTTATTTGGACAGAATATTGCGAGAAAAACCAACCATGGAAAAACTTAAATAAATGCTTTTATCATATCTAAAACCCCATTTCTTAAGGGGTTGTTCCGGGTTTTATTTCTAAAATGTCTATTTGGTTGTATAGGATTAAAAGTTTCCCCAAAATTAAATTTTTTAGAAGTACGTTGTCTATCTACAAATGGACAGGAATAATCAAAATTAAAAAACAACATTTTAAAGATTTTTACCATTGAATAAAAAAAATATTTAGAAAAGTTAAAACAATAAATATTTAGGCCATATAAAAAAAGGCTTCTTAATTTAATTCAATTTCACATGTAACTTATTTTTTTGATTGTAGAATAATTTATAAGAACCTTAGCATATTTGAGCAATCGATACGCTAGCGAGACTCACGGCCTGATCAGAGGGAAAAGCAAAACAAAGGTTTGTGAAACAAGTTTGTGTGGCAGTAACCTCCAACACGGCTGGACTGATGGAAATGCAAATGAGCCCGAACCAGGTCGAGAGAATCCGACAGCTTGGGTCCGCCCATTCTTCTGCTCAGTGTGAAAATGTGCGGCAATCCGAACACGCGCTTGCTTTCCCGTCTGGTCATCGACTTCCTGATTCTCCTGGGGATCTATGGAGCGGCCCTGGTGGTGCTGCCCCAGCAGCTGGCCACGGCCCAGCGGGGCTTCCACTGCAGCGATGCCAGCCTGAAGTATCCCTACCGCCAGCCCTGGCTGACCAAGGTCCACCTGACCATCGCGGTGGTGGCCCTGCCGGCGGCTTTTGTTCTGGTGGTGGAGATGCTCCGGGCCGCCGTGGTGCCCAGTTCTACGGAGCTGAAGCAGCGCTTTGTCTTCGTGGGCGTCCGCATCCCCAGCTTCATCAGCGAGTGCTACAAGGCCGTCGGCGTGTATCTTTTTGGCCTGGGACTGACCTTGCTGGCCATACGCTTGACTAAGCACTCGACGGGCCGGCTGAGGCCCTACTTCTTCGACGTCTGCCAGCCCACGTGGGGTGAGGAGGAGAGCTGCTCCGACCTGACCGGCGAGAATTCCACCCTCTACCTCGAGGATTTCAGCTGCACGGAGTTCGCTGCCTCGCAGGACCTGCTCGCCCTGGTGCGCCACTCCTTTCCCAGCGGCTTTGTGTCCACAACCTGCTACGCCATGGGCTTCCTGATCCTCTACGCGCAGGCCAGGCTCTTCGCCCCCTGGCTGCGATTAGTCCGGGCCACGCTGCAACTGGCCTGTGGCTCACTGGCCTTGGTGGTTTCCTGGGAGCGCATCTCCACCTACCAGAACCACTTGACGGACGTGGCGGCGGGTGCAGCACTCGGTGGTCTAATGGCCCTCTTCGCCACGGTGTTTGTGGCCCACATCTTCGTGGAGGTGCGGGTGAAACGCCGTCAGTGGCCAAGAAACGAACAGATCTACGGCTATGCGGGGTACTACAATAGAGCCACTTATGGCTACTAATATGTGTAAGATAATGGGTTGGCTTTACTTGATTTAGCTATGGTAATAAAAGGCTTTAATTTATTAACGAAACAAGTTTATGTTTTATTTGGTTTAAGCAACGCGATTCTAATTGCATGCTAGCTGTGACGATTCCAGCTTATTGCACTTGATCTGGTTCCGATTTCGAGATTGTGTCCATGCTGAACAAATACAAAGTAAAAGGCATTAAACTGATTATGAGAAAAACCAACACCAATTTGTTTTACTTCTTGGAAAGCAATCTAAGCTGAAACCAATCGCATCGCAAGGACTAGCGTTTTAAAAAATAATATATTTTTCTTTATTTAGGGCGCTTTTTTTACAAACCGAACACCTTTTCTTAGGTCACATTTTGGATTTGCCTGAAACTTTTTTTACGTGTACTATTCGGAAAATAAGTAAAGTAGTTTGCCAATAAACGTGAATTTTGAAAAGTTACCAGTACCAGTTCCAATCATATAGGCCACATAATTCGAAACGTCGGCAAACATCGGTTTTTTGTATTCTTAGCTTTACCGCGGAACCTGTAGGTGATGGGACTTTTTCTCAGGAGCACCCAATTATCATGAAAAACTAGAAATGGTTCGTGGAAATTTTTGGCTGTGTACCTGTGTATTTTATCACTTAAGACGGTTTTATATAGTTTCAATAAATACTTCTTAATTCCGAAGTCAAAATTAAGTGATCATTTTTAGAGTTTTCCATTTTATATAAATTATTTGTATGATTCAACCTACCCCAATTTCGCTAAAAGCTTTCAAGCGTAACTACTGATAACCGTCTGCAGAACACAATTTTATATTTAGCCGTGCTCCAAACCATAAGTCGCTTACGATCCACTAAACAAGTGGTTTGCGATCGCCACTTTCTGATATGGGGGCTGACCACCGTCCACACAATTTCTCTCTTTTTCTTTCTCTCTCTATCTGTCTCAGTTATGGGTTTCTCTCCCTCTCTTTCTGTAATAATTGCCGGTACGAGAGCAGCTCTATAGATTTGTTTACAAAGTTGTTTGGTTTCATTCAGTCGCGATCCCGAAGCGGCGCTTAAAACTATACGGATCGTGTGCGAACGGGTTCCAGAAGTCGGTAGCCAGCGGCGTTAAAAAAACAGATTGCCATAAAGGTGAACAATTATTTAATTATACGGCTCGGTACGTGATGGTCGAAATAAAAACAGAAACGTGATGACATATAAAACATAAAGCCATCGTAAAGGATCCATTAAATGTGAGTTAATTGGGGCTTCTGAAACCTGTGGCACCTTGTGGGCTCAAAGTTCACCGGGCTCTTTAAAATACCAGCATACCATACTAAAGTAAATAGCGTCGATTTAGCGCCAGGGAGCCCTCTTTCGAGTACGAAGGCTCCACTAAGCGCAGCATACAGTTTCGTATAAATATGCTGAGTTGGGAAAGTGGGAGCTGAGGGGAGTGGACAGATATACATACTCACTGAGGCAGGCCGCCTTAATTCAATCAAATGTCGCTTATTCATTCAATTAAAGGTCGCGCCATTTGACGTCCCACTATGAATGCGTCTGTGAATACGAATATCAAAGCGAGTGAGTGTGTCCGAAGCTAAGACAGCGACGCTGGGGATGATTTGGTGCCCGCTTTGACTTTTTTCCATTTTTTTATTTTTTAATGTAATTGACAGTTAAACTTTGTGCACATGTTCGGCAGAAACTCCCGCTTCAGGCATAGGGATGTCATGCAGATCAGATAGTCGGAATCGGAAGGAGGAGGGGGCCACAATGGAGGCCATTCTTGGGCGGGAGATTAGCGCTCCAGCCAAGCAGAGCTGCAATTCTGCGTTCTCCCGATAATGCAAATCTTGTGGGGACGCTCCTATTCGACGGCTGGCTGCCCTAGAACAATAGTATGCCATTTAATGAGTAACCTATGAGTCACTTGTTGACCCGCTCCTATCGATGCTTCACCACTCCTTTATGGAGGAGGCTTTTTTATATCTCGGGAAGACACCGGCAGAGGAACTGAGTAATCGCAAAAGCGCTGAATTGCAATGATATGGCACTAAAGAAGCTTTCGCAGCTATCATGCACACTCTAATTTATCTTATCAAAGTGATCTTGAGCTTGTTTGAGCAGCCACACTGTGAGAATTACAAAAGCTATAGTCGAAAGAAATACCTTTTTAAATATATCATGGCATTCCCCATTTTATTGTATAATATTTTCCATATGTTCAAAATCTTCTTTTAAGTTCAAATATCTAATCGATCCCATTTTTATTTCAGTGGCTTCTGGCTCTTGTCTAATCTAGACGAACGAAGAACCGCAACAATACTTGGATCCCCGCAGACGGCTAACTACTATAAAATAGGCCATAAACAAATTGCTCTGACGCAGAGAATTAAAAAATAAGTCGCTTGAAGAGAGCGTTGTGGGGAGTCAAAAACAATGCCGGGAGAGTGCCGCCCGCCTATCAAATGAGCGTTAAATTAAAAGAACGTTACCCAAACGACGCCGACTCAGTCAGCCACTGACAACGAACCCGACGCCCCACAATCGAGCAAACGCGCCGGGTAAAAAACCAAACCAAACCAAACGAAACGAAACGAAAAGCTAATTAGCAGCGAGCATAAAGGCCATTTGGAGTATTAACTAATTAAAGCCAGCGAAATGCGCGACGCGAACGAAGATCCATCTGTGGCCGTTTCCATGCCGGCATCCGCATCCGTTGCCGGATCCTCCAGGGGAGGAGGAGGAGCGACCTCTGACCGCCGGTTGACGCAGCGCCTGCTCGTGGAACTCCTCGTGGTGGTGATCCTCATCATACCCATCTGCGTCTACGAGTTTGCAGTGGATCCCGTGAGACGGGGCTTCTTCTGCGACGACGAGAGCATCAACTATCCGTTCCAGGACAACACAATCACACCGGTGATGCTCGGCCTGATCGTAGGACTTCTGCCTGCCCTGGTCTTCCTGGTGGTGGAGTACGTGAGCCACCTGAGGGCGGGAGACATCTCGGCGACGATGGACCTGCTGGGCTGGCGGGTGTCCACCTGGTACGTGGAGCTGGGCCGCCAGTCCACCTACTTCTGCTTTGGCCTTCTGCTCACCTTCGACGCCACCGAGGTGGGCAAGTACACCATTGGACGCCTGAGGCCTCACTTCCTGGCCGTCTGCCAACCGCAACTTTCGGATGGCTCTCTGTGCTCTGATTCTGCCAATCTGCACCGCTATGTGGAAAACTACGAGTGCGCCGGCGAGGGCTTCACCGTGGAGGATGTGCGCCAGTCCCGCCTCAGCTTCCCCAGCGGACACTCCAGCCTGGTCTTCTACGCCATGGTGTATGTGGCGCTATACCTCCAGAGGAAGATCACCTGGCGAGGATCGAAATTGGGTCGCCACTTTGTTCAATTCGCTCTGGTGATGGTGGCCTGGTACACGGCCCTCAGCCGCGTGATGGATCACTGGCACCACTGGTCCGACGTCCTCACCGGATCACTCCTGGGCGTGGCAGGCGCCCTGATCACAGCCCGATTTATATCGAGGATGTTCGACGACGGGGTGGACAGCATCCTGACCAGGGGTCTGAGGAGAGAGAACACGGCGGCCACGCTTCAGGAGGAGGTGTGTCCCACCACCCCGCCGCCCTACTCGGCGAACAGCAGTTTCAACGAGGATCAGTACTGCTCGAAGGTCTAAGAGGGCCTACAAGACTTTCTTGCAGTCATGTAAATTCGTAACATTCCAAAGGTAGCAATAAAGTATAGATGAACAATCAGCCCGAGTTGAATCTTTAGTATCCAAACCTCGTTATAGAGCCTTACAGTTAGTTATCACCCATTTGTATAGTTGAGTCTGTCTCCGCAATCCCATCTTACGTATAAGTCATCGTATTATTTGTGTATTTTAATTGGTACCAGTAAAATAAATAATTATAACGAATATAACCCATATACCCACTGTGTTGTTTTAACCCTATCCATTGTTTGCCTACTCGCTTATCTGTACTTGGTATTCTTTATTTATTTGCTAAAATTTCACATTTCAATGTCACATTTCGACGATCACCTACAGCTGTGAACACCCAAATAGTGGGACACCTTCCTCCTCAACTTAAAGTAACTTTTTGGGTCTATTTCTTTTACTTAAAGGGATTGGTTTGCGCCATGTTCGGTTAGGTTGGACCAAATAACATTTCTTGTTTATTATTTATTATTACTGAAATACAAAGAAATATAATAAATATGTTGTGTTAGGCCCACATATTTGGTAGTGGTGGAGTTGGACTTCTAGATCACTAAAAAGATGCCAAAAATTGTTTTTATAGGAACATTTTTGTTTTTATTACATCTATATTTGCATATTTTTTTAAGTTGGCCGACCTTTCATCTACAATATAGTCAATACATTCTGTTAATTTATATGGCAACATTAATAGTTGTAAACACAAATTTATATCACATAAATTGGCTGAGCACAACTCAACACGGACATATCAAAAAAACGTATTTTGAAAAAAACACTTAAGAAAATATGATTTCATAAAAAAGTTCTTTATTAATTTTTTGTGATCTAAAGGGAGCAAACCTACCAGACAACATTTTAATGTGGTGTATTTTTATAAAATTACAGGGTAGTTTACTTTATGAGTTTACTTTATTAAAAAGACATTTTAAATTCTTTACATTTTTGGCTAATTTCAATTTCTCAAAACCTTAAAAAAATAGTAATGTATCATAAGTCATGGCCTGGCTTAGTTATAAATTCTATATGAAATCATATTAAAGTATAGTAATAACTATTTGAGTAACTGCGGTCGAAATATGGAGCGAAATATTTAGTAGAGCATGCTAGAAATAACAGATTAAGCTCATTTTTTTAAAGTAGCATCCATTTAAGGAAATTTATTTGTTTTGCTATTACAAATTTTGCTTAATCTTGGAAAATATTTTAATTATAAAAAGTTACTTCCTGGAAAAATGTGTTACTCATGGACGAACTATTTTTATAAACTGTCAATGAGCAACATTATTATGACCAACATATGATACTAAGCATTAGTATGATGGAATTTCCTATTGTTTGCTATTTAATATAGTTAATCGACCAACTGCTGAATAATATTTTGAGGTTAAAAATATAAATATAACTAAAGAACAGATCATTAAAAGGGGTGTTACTATTTTTATGAGCACAGCTGTAAATTGATCTATTAATAAATTGGGGGCATCCAATTGACTCCGATTTCGCACAGTGTTGTCATACCTGGCTGCCTGGGCTACTGGTATCTGTTGGAATGTGCGCTGACCATGATTCACCGACGATTTTGTTGATGATTTTCTGCTGCGTCAGAGGTGCGCAGCATTATGGGCGCTTCAAGAGGTCGGCTTCTCCCGAAAATCTTCCTCGATGATCGTGAGAAAGCGCCGCTCTCTTAAGAGTCTTTCAATTGGTGAACCTAGCTGGTGAATCAAGCGATGTTAATCTGATTTCGGGGGACCCCTGACCCACCAATTAATAAAATTTGAAGAGACTGCCGGAAAACGTTGGATCGAGCTTTTCAAAAAGCTTTTTGGGGGCAGTTTCGAGCTTCGGGCTACACCAAACAAAAAATCAAATGTTTTAACTCTCCAAGCATTGTTTTAAAAATACAGAAGTTGTAGTATAAAAAAGTGGTATTGACCTAATACTAAAAAATACAAATTCTATACTCAGTAGTATTAATTTCATATAAAATATTATAAACTTAATGTTTTGTAGCTTCATTTCTATACCGAAAGTATTAAATTAAACTCATTTTATTGATGCGCAATTTGACTTTCAATAGTGTAGAATTTATGTAACAATAGGATCGTTTCTATGACTATGTTTTTTTGGGTGTACATAACCATGAGATCTCGGATTCGCAGTAAACAGCAACTCGCGTGTTTTGGCGCTGACCGCTTCAGGGCCAGACGGGAACAGCGGATCGATAATAGCGCCAGCACGTGCGTGGCAACAGGCTGATAAGCCCGCAGAACAGCTAGCTGGGCACTTTGTTTTTCGACCCGGGGCTTCCACCCAGCGGAAAGTATCTGCGACGTCAGCCCGAGCCCCTTTCGAAGCTGCAGTCTAATAATACAATCAGTGACAACAATAAGAATTGTTTATTAATAATCCGCGTCAAGTGGGCTTGGGCCCAGATTGCTGGGGGCTGATGTCCGACTTCGACCCGAGCCGCAGATCAGTGACTAGTGAGACGCTGGATCGATCGCACGCATCCCGGAATTGAATCGATCATTCAACATGAGCTTCAGTCTGAGCTTCCGGCCTCCAGTTCGCCTGCTGGTGGACTTGGTCCTTTTGGGCCTTCTACTCGTCCTGGTGGAAAACTTTGGTCGCTTCTGGGGACTTCCCACCAAGCGGGGCTTCTTCTGCGACGACGAGTCCTTGATGTATCCGTACCACGAGAACACAGTGAGCCCCACCCTTCTCCACTGGCTTGGACTGTACCTGCCACTGATCGGTCTAATCATCCTGGAGAGCTTTCTCTGCTACCGCGGAGACAGGTCCCACTGGAAGTTTCTATGGCCGGTTTACAACACGGTGCGCTGGTTCCTCTACGGCTACGTTTTCAACGACCTGATCAAGAGCATAGGCAAGCACACAATAGGGCGACTGAGGCCCCACTTCTTCGCAGTGTGCATGCCACATTTCCAGGACGGAGGCAGTTGCTCGGATGCGGCGTACCAGGGGGTTAAGAAATACTTCACGGACTACGACTGCCGGCCTGATCTTTCGGGAGCCACCGAGGACATGATCCGTGACGTCAACGTGTCCTTTCCCAGCGGCCATTCCGCCATGTCCTTCTACGGCCTGGTTTTCGTGGCCCTGCACCTGCGACACCGCCGCTGGCCCCTGCCAGGATCCTTGCTGAGTCCCGTGCTCCAGCTGGCCTGCGTGGCTCTGGCCTGGTTCGTGGCCCTCAGCCGGGTCATGGACTACAAGCACCACTGGTCGGATGTTGCGGCCGGATCGCTGCTGGGTGCCGGCACTGCCTTTGCGGTTGTCCAGGCTGCCGTGCTGGAGGAGCGGCAAAGGAGGTGCCAGGAGGCACAGTCACTGGTACAGGGACAGCCAAGTGTGAATGCAAAGCAGGAGGCTGCGGTGGCAGCCGCAGAGGGAGCTGCAGCCAAGGGTGGCCAGCAGCTGGCGCATGATTTGTGTCTGGTTTCGTGCCAGAGCTCTAATTAGTCGGGGCCGCTTTTTGGCCCCCGGCACTGATAGTTTAAGGTTGACAATAAAGCTAGTGACAAGGGAGTCTCACCAGTTGTTCTTGCGGTTAAGGGAGGAAAGCTTACACCCAGAAAAAAAACGATATGAAACGTAGATCGATTTTACATCACCTAAGATAAATTTTAATTTGTTATGGGGCCAGATAAATTTGTCCTGGTCGAAAAGAATATTTTATGTAAAAACGATATGGGTTACTTACATGGCCATATCGATTTTACGGGAACATGCTTTTTTTGTGTGTAGTAAATCCCCATCAATTAATGCGCATCTCGTGCCGAGTCGGTGCAAACTGGAAACTTCAAGATCAATCAAGCGTTCGATCGCCTGAGTTAAGTAGCACAAAAACAGTGATTAGCTAAGCCATTGCTATAATATCAATCATACTTTTTACACCCGTAACTTGCGGTTTTCTCAATGCCAATACCATTTACATTAAATTCTAAGCAGCCTTTACCAAATTTATTATTTACTCGTTATACACGTAATTTATGTATTCTACTTTATGGCTACTTGCTAAAGCTATGCCAATATTTTGTTAGAGTGACTTGCACTTTTTTTCAGAGGCAGCCAATCTGGTGGGTAGATGTTTATGTTCTTCCCGGGGATTTTTTATCAAAAATAGATTTCGTAGGAAACCGCACTTTGAAGGTCCCAGACTGTTTTCAACGCAATCGCAACTATCTGTCCCGTGTGACGTAGTTAAAGAGAATAGCGGGGAAAACAAAATAAGCCAGCTAAACTGAAATTCAAATGATGCGATTGGCATTGTTGTTGCGCTGACAACGCGCTAAAAATTAGCGGCTCCTTCAGTTTCATTAGCAGCAAATTTTCGAACGACTTAACCCCGGTCAACAAGTCAGCGACGACCACCTACCAATCAGGGTAGAACTTAAGGGAGGTATAAATAAATTTCAGCAGCCAGCGCATAAATTGGGAAAAGGACTCAGACGCCGACCCAGGCCAATCTCATCCGAATCTCCGACGCTGATGATGATGCGCAACACCTGGAGCCTGGAATCCGAGGTCGGATTTGCGAATCAGGTGGGGCAAGGGCGCTTGGGCCGCAGCTTAATTGGCTCATTTATTTTAATGGCAAAGAAAATGCTGGGAAATTGTGGTTATTTTTTCCTCGCCCCTCCGACTAATTCCAACCCCCCGGTTCCCTCCCTCCGTCCAGCTTTTATTATGATTAATTATGGCTCGCATACACAGGAAAACTGACCCAAAGCTCCACTTTCTTGCCAACTTTTGCAACTGTGTCAAGTTGTTTTTGCCCTCCATTGTTGCTGTTGTTGTGTGCCTCCAGATTCGAATGATAAATTTCTATGCAATTTATTTTAATCTGCAGCGACAGTTCCTGCCACACTAGCCCTTCTCCCTTTCCTTTTCCCTTTCACCGTTGCCAGCTAGTTTTCATGCGTTAATTAAATGGAAAATATTTGCATACCAGGCAACACCGAGCGAAGGAAGTTTAGCTGCAATCCGAAACAATGACCCACATCCAGCATTGGCGAAAGTTTTGTTCTGTTTACCCGACGAAACTTGGAACTTAGTTCCTTGGGAGTTCATTAGGCACCGGCAACTGGAGGTGCTTTTCCCCAGCGACAGGCTAATTGCAAATGGTCAGGCCATCCGGAGGAGGAGATCCCAGAGCCACAGACCTGTCTATTTAGTCGGTTTAATCCCTTTTCCGACCTTTGCCATCAATCAAAGCCCTTGATCAGCACCGACTTTCTATCAATCGCTGCAGCAGATGAAATTTAAGAGCTCCGCTGTCGTCGTGTGGAGTCTCTAATCACCGTCAGGTGTGATAATGCGGCCAGTCGGTGTGAGTTGCCCGTCCAGTCGGGCAGTTTGTCACTCCGCATTATCTGCCCCGTCCATCAGATGTCCATCGTTCTAGGCGGGTTCCGTCGTCGTTTTCAGAACGAGAACGATGTTCTGCTGCATTTTTGCATGGTTGTTTGCTCAACAAAATATCCCAAAGCATTTCGGGGATTTTCCACTCATCCTGCCGTTGTCGTTGTCGTTGCTGCAACATGCGCTTCATATTTCTGCGGTTGCCTCGTCCTCTTGTGCTGTGTCCTGGTCCTGCCCAGCTTTTCCACTTGCTATTTGCCATCAGCAGTCATCAGTGCTTCCCTTGCGAGCCCAGACCAGCTCCGCTTCAATCGTTGGCTTCATGTGTGTAAAGACAATTTGATAATCGCAAAATGCAGCATAGTTTGAGTTAATGAAGCTTGTGTGCCATGTGTGCCACCTTCGGACGGCATCCTCTTGGCAGTCCCAGCCAGACGACTCTGTCGTTGTCGTTGTCGTTGTTTGTTGGACAACAACCGGAGCGTTTTGCTTGCCAATTAGTAATTTGCTTGCTGGCTGGCTGGGGGAACGGAACGGAACGGAACGGTTGGCCAGAACAGGCTAGACTGCTCGGTTTGTCCCTGACAACCTGAGGGAGTTTTAAAATACCCGAGGTGGGCACCAGACCACCTGACTCAATGGACAGGGCTCGACTGGCTTAAACCGGTTTAAAGGCTGCTTTAATCTACAAGTTTTTAAGAATCTGATGGAGGCAATACATTTCGCATTGTTGCACTCTTTTTCAATTTGTTTAAATTAATTCCAGAGACTTACACATACTTTATCGTTTATTGTCCATCGAAAACTGATGTGACAGCGCGACAACAGAGCAATTTGAATGGAAAACAGCGGGACTGTCAGCCAAGGAAGGGAAAACAAGCCAGCGTCACCTTTGTGCTCCTCCGTTTCGCCTCGGATTCGATGTCCTGTCGTAGAAATCACACGCAGCTCCGACACGTGACATCAAAGGACAGAGCGGCGGCCATTTTGTCGCCGCCATCATTATTAATGGCGCAGCGCAGGACGAGGATGCGAACCCAGGACCAGGAGCAGAACTGCGGCGATGCTAACTTCCGGTATGCTGGGATTTTTTCGCTGCCATTTCCCGGTTCGTGCTTTCCTCTTCGATGTCTCTGACAATTTTGACTGTTGTCCTGCACGAAAGGAATCGGCGATGTCCTCTGGTTCTGCTCGAAACAGGTGTGGCCGTCAACTGGCAATCAACTTTCATTTAGCAGCATCATTTGTCACGCTTGTTTATTGCCCGGTTACGTGCTGGCCGCACTTAATGGTTGTTATTGTCGCCGTCCGGCACAAGACGGAGCGCATTGCACGGGTCAGGGATCTGGGATCCGGAATCAGGGATGTGCGATTGCAGATGTATCGATTTAAAATCAGAGCGAACTGTCAGGGAGTCGCTTCCATTATCCCCACCCCTCCGTTCAAATCGCCCGCACACCAAGTCTGCTCATAACTAAAACATAACCCCAATTATGCCACAAGCTGCGATGCTGATTCATTGATGAGCTCCGGCAGAAGCCAAAAACGAAATGAAAACGCAGCCATAGCTAATGCCGCGTTGATTATGAATATTTTAGGGTCCCGCACTATGATCATCCCGATGGCAATGATGATGATGATGATTGGGCTACTCGACTGGGACTCTCGCCTACGCGGGCAATAAATTTATATGCCTGGCCCTCCGTGCCTGCCTGCCTGCCGGGCATATGAGAATTTACATTTTGGCAATTTCCAGCTGTCGAAGGCCCGTTCTGCCCTTTGGCCGATAGGATATCTTCGACGGTTCTGGGCCTGGTAGTGCATCGCGTAAATTCCGTTACGTCGCTGCCGCCGGCTCGTTTTGCCAGCAAATGCAATTTCCTAATTTCTCACTGGGGAAATGGCGCTAAGAACCTGCAACCGGGCCCTGCTGACCACTCGAGCCGGGGTCGCTCCGTTTGATTGGTCGGAGGGGGTTTCCCGGAGGTGGTGGTTCAGGAGGTGTTCGCTTCCAAATTAATGACCCGACGCCGCAGACGATGAGTAGCAGCAACAAAAACAGGGAACGGAGCCGGAAAAAAGAAGAGGAGCGGCCGCAGACAAAGGCGCATAAATGCATAGAGTGAAGTCGGAAAATTGCTGCAATTGGAGAGTCTCGCTAGGGGAATCCCCCTTCAGACCCTCTAGCCCCTCCAGCCCCTGTAACCCCTGCCCACTGCTTATGCAAAGCAAATTGGTTTATGCATGAGGCGGCGGCGGACAGACGAAACCCAACCAAACCATACGAAACGTAGCGAAAGGATGTAAGGAGCTTCACACTGGAGCAGCCAAAGCCGTAGCTGATATGATGGAAACACCGGCGGAGGAAAGAGCTACACACAAAAAAATTAGGTTGGTAAAATTGACCAATGAATGTAGTTCAGTAACTATAAAAAATTAGTACTTTAACAACCAAAATAGTCGTAGTTGTATTAAGTAGTTAAACTACCATTAAATTAGTTATGTGTACGGGATGTGTGTATTTTATTTTTGTACCTTGAAACTATTTTAAATAGTAGTTTAACTATGAACAATAGTTACCTTAACGTAACTTATTTAATATAAAAGTATGTAACAGTAATTATTCTATTCTATTCCAAACTTATATTTAATTCCAAATTGGGTCTAGCCCTTCATGAACCAAGCCCAAGTCATTAAGATTTTATTTTAAAACTTATTTTCTGTCTTAAGTCTTTAATTTACTACCACACTAGCTGGAAGTCAAGTGAAACACGAAACTTTATAAGGTGTAGTTTGACAATTACCATTTTAATATTACTTATAAATTACTTTGATGCAGGGAAATAACAATAAATAGTTTTATATCTACTATAAACATGGTAAGTTAACTACAATTTAAGATTAGGCACATTCAACCCTTTTTTACAGTTGCATAACTAATTTTTATAGTAACCCCTACGTTGACGTATTAAGTAGAATTGACAAATTTTGTGGTTGGGGACAATTATATTGGTTCACGTCACCAATTGATTTTTTTGTGTGTACCATACCACCGCCACCCATCACGGTTCAGGAGGTCCGGGGCTAAGTAAATTGTTGGCTCAGCCCTTGATTAGCTTAGCCGGGTTCAAGCTGGGGGACGAGGGGTCTCATAGGTCAGC